GCCGCGAGGCGCGACAAAGCGCGGCGTTGGGCGAGACGGCGGCCGCCCGACGCGCGCGCAGGTGAGCGGGCCAGACCAGTCGCCGCAACAATTATCTGCAAGTGCGGCGCCCATCTTGCAGGTCAACCGTGTCCACAATCTGGGGTGCGCGAGGCGCCTCACCGCTAGGTACACCCTCGCCGCGGCGCTGTCGGGTGCGTACCCCTCCGGCAGCCTCTCGCTGCCCCAGAGCATCATGGGGCTGCCGGGATCCCCACGCCCGACCGCCCAGCCCCCGCCCGCCGCAATGCTGCTGTCGCCGCCGCCGCCGCCGCCGCCGCTAGGGGTGGCCGGGGCCGCGGCTGCCGACGCCTCCTCCCTTTCCAGTGTGAGCAGCTCCCGTGCGGCGATCTGAACAAGCTCGGTCACGAGCTCTATCACATCCTCCATCCGCATGCCGCTGAGATACGCCACGGGGTCGGCCGCATGCTCGACCTTCCACCAGGCCGGCGCCTCGCAGCCCTGCGGCGGCACGGTAGCGGGCGCGGGCGCGGGCGCGGGCGCGGGCGCAGGCACGGGCGCGGGGTCGGGCCCCGCTGCGGCCTGGGCGCCGCCGCCTTGTGCGGTATTGGCGTTGACTGCGGGGTCGTCGCTGGCAGGGGCGCCGCTTGAGAGGCTCGTCTGCGTGCTGACGGTCGCGCCACCGCCGCCTGAGCTGCAGGGAGTCTGGCGTGTGGACGTGGCCGCCAGCTCTGACCCCAGCGATCTCAGCAGGTCGATCTGTGATGGCATGCAAACGGGCAGAGTCAGGTGATTCTGCAATCCTGCAATGAACATGCCCAAGCCTGCAATAAGCGACCTTCTCGCCCACCTGCCTACCCGCGTGCTACGTGGAACTTTTGCTGTGTGCATGTTGACACGCGCACACACACACACACACACACACACACACACACACACACACACACACACACACACACACACACACACACACACACACACACACACACACACGCGCGCGCGCGCACACACACATACACACACACACACATACACACACACACACATACACACACACACACACACACATTCAGTTTCTGTCGCACTGCAAGCGACCCACCCGTCGCACATACACACACACACACACAAGTGCCTGCACATGCAGCGCGCGCGCACACAAACACACACACACACACGAGCGTGCATGCAAGCGCGCAAGCACACATACTGCACACGCGCACTTGCACACGCATCTCTCTCACGATAACTCACGCACATCCCATACATACACAGAAAACAAATGCAACGCCACACCAAACTCATGCCCCTGGGTGTATGGAAGTGCAATGGCAGCAAGATCCATGAGGTGCAGGGCAGAGCAGACAGCTGTGCAGGGCCAATGCTGCGGAGTCCTGCTGCCAGAGTCTGGCTGACCAGCGAGGAGCAGCGGCGGTGCACAAAGCAGGGACGCCCACGCGCAGT